TTTATTTTAATAGAAAACAAACATAAATTATTCAAGAAAAAAAAAAAAGATCTCGTTATTTTCTTTTTCTTTTGTTTATTTACTCGAAAATCATTCATTGTTATCGTATATGAATTCGATGAAGAATTTTGTTGTTCAGTTTCTGGTTCATGGATTTTTTGTTTTACCCATTCAATCACTTTAAATTTGTTTATATAATACAAATAAATCAATAGAAAACAAAAACAAAAAAGAACGTACTAGATTGATTAGTATTCAAATCAGTATTCATTTTTCTAAATAAAAAAACATAATGAAAACATTTTTCAATAATAGATCATTTAATGGAAGTTCAGGATTTCGAGCAAACCTAAAGTACTCTCATTAACCCTGATTAAAAGCTTTACTACTATATATAATTGTTGCATTCCATAATGTTTAACAGTATTCATTTTCATCAAAAAAGCACTTATTAATAGCATGCATTTAGACGAACTTATAATTCTAGGGTTATGCTTAGCAAAATGATGTCGACAAATTGACAATATTTATGCAGAAACATTAATTAGTTAAAAATGAATCAGAAAACCATGACTCAAAAAAGTCTCTATGGAACATTCCGTTTTTTCCATCAGCACTTGTTGTATACAAATAATAGTTATCTCAAAAAGTCACACCACTTCGAATAGGATCAAATCAAACTGCTCAGCATTATGTCGTTCCATTGAGAACTACTGAATGATGAGCGAGACCAATTATTTTTGGTAAGGGTCGAGAAAACATTTGCGTTCATGATTTCACACTCAGTATTACATGCACTAGAGAAGAATACGATATCATTCTCTATCAGTGTCAATACACTCGAGACATCTTATACGATTTGCATGATTTGTAATATCCTGCCTCTTGGAGATTCATTAATTTTTTTAATTGACTAATACTTCGTTTATTTTTCACATTTATATGTTCGACAACTCTATTGTTTACGAAGAAAAATGATTAATTTTACTATTAAAATTGTAGAATTTCTAGTTTTTATAGAATTTAATGAGAAGAATATAAGTCCAACTTGGAAGTCCTGTGTGACTTTTGACCTGAGCCAATATTCATGTAAGCTTATTTAATTAGATATGAACTTTTACCTATTTAATGCTGCTACTAATGCTTCATCAATTAATGCACTTAAATCAGCACCGACAAATCCAGGTGTCTTGAGTACAATTTCATCGAGATCAAAAGTGGAGTCGAGTGAAGTTAATTTTTGACACATCATTGTTAAAATTCTTAAATGTAGTACACAATGGCAAATACATTGTTGAGAAAAAAGAAATTTTTACCTTCGTCGTTCATTTTCGTTTGGAATTCCAAGCGCAATTTCATGATCAAATCGACCAGCACGTCTCAATGCTGGATCAAGTGAATCAGGTCGATTTGTTGAACCAATAATAACAACACGAGTCATTGGTAAATGAGATAATTCTACGTAGAAAAGAAGAAATATGTTTCGAATTCATTTAATTTAAGTCGTATTTTACCATCAAGACATGCTAATAACTGAGTAACAATACGTCGTTCCATATCTTTTGAAGCTGATTCACGTCGTTGTGATATCGCTTCGATTTCATCAATAAATAAAATACATGGAGAATGACGCTACAAACATAAGTGTTTGTTAAAAAATAGAATTTCGAACTAGAATTCTTGTTTACTTTTGCTTGATCAAATAATTTACGAATTTTATATTCTGAATCACCGGATATTCCAGATACTAATTCAGTTGATGTTGTTTTTAATATTGGTAAATTTAGTTCCTATTAATGAATAAAAGATATATATATATATATATTGAAGAAAATTTTTTTTTCCATCAATTTACTCCAGCTAATGCTTGAGCTAATAAAGATTTTCCAACACCTGGAGGTCCATGGAGAAGGAAGCCTCGTGGCGGAGTTTTTCCATTTTGAATAAATCCTTCTGGTCGTAATATAAAATAAATTCGACGAATTAAATTCTAAATTTTTCTTTTATTATATTAATTATATTTTACTAAAAATAATTTTATACTTCTTTAAATGAATCAGATGCCGCAAAATCTCCAAATGTTATTGTCGAGTATTCAACATCAGGACCTAAGAAATATAATTTAAAATAATAGTACATTTCTGGTCAAACTTATATTGCCATCTATTATTTGCTCGCTTTTAATCACTGTAGACCATTGAGAACAGAAAAATGGATGTGACTACATGCATTCGAGTATATTTCATTCAACTGTGGAATCAATTTTCGTTGATTCTATGACCAAACTGAAGAAAACCGATGTTTATTAAAATTCATCGACTTTTGCTATCGGAAATATATAAGACCGCTATCATATTTTCGTTACTTTTGGATCTAAAAGATGGTAACTTTGCTTAATTTTCTGAACGATTTCATAAAACAAAATGTTTAAAAAAAATTTATATTTGAATTTAAAATGAGACATTACTAATCGAGTCGAAATGATTTGAAGATATCATTTAATGAGCGTAGTTCTCTACGTGATTAACGAGTTTCAAGTCAAGACTATGAGTGTCATACAGCTCTCAGTGAACACTAAATATACTGAAAAGAATTCGAATCTTTTGCTTATTGTTATGAAGCTGCTAGATTGTTACTTTTCGTTGTTTCTATCCGAAGAAATAGTGATGGTACAGTCGTCTCTTTTACATCGCTCATATCTATTGAAAAATTCAATATCTTCATATCAAGATAGTAGCTAATCAAACGACTAAAAATTTTTACTAAAAACTATTCTCGTTCAACTCTCTCTACGTATCCTAAGGATCTGAATTCTACTCAAGATATTTATAACACATTAGATTTTACATGATGCACATAGCTCCGAATCAAGAGCAATTAATTAATTAGAAAATTTCTCTCATCACTTCAATACCTTAATTGAAAAGTTAGAAATATAGACAAAATTTCATTACAGAGAAACATACGACGTCAAAACCCTCCCAAATCAAGAAACATTGTCAATTCCGTCAGAAAAACACTGGAAACTGATGGTTCTTAGGCGCAGTATTCCAGAGTGAAAAGACTCTGAATGCTTCCTGTCGATTCCAGTGAAATCTTATGCTACTGTTGTAGATTATGACACTGTATGTGTCTCTGTAAGAGAATGATATACAAAACTAACAAACATCTTCTTCTGTCGAAAGACAAGTCGTTTATTCAAATTCAAATATCAGCTTCGCTTGTATTTTAAATTTAACAGCTCAAATATTGAAGTAAAGTGATTTTTTCAAGCTATTTCAATTCGTTTAATAATATTGTGTTTTAAATTCACATATAAATGATTTTTCAAACATTTTTCTCTGAAAATTTTCAAAAGATCAAGCAAAAGTAAGATTTCTCTCATCCAATAATAATAAAACTATGATAGTAGTCCTATATATTTATGAAGACAAAAATCAACGAATTTTCATAAATATTTGTTTTCTTCAGTTTGACACTAGCGTGAAGAAAATCTGATGCCATAGTTAAATAAAATGTATTCGAATGCATGTAGTCATATGGATTTTTCTTTTTTCAAAAGCTTAGAATAGTTGAAAACGAGACAATGGTAAATGATCTTATAATTTTGACCAGAACTGTATAATAAGAAAAAAAAAGAATTATTAATACCATCAATATCATTGGTAACTGTTGATTCTCCTGGCTTTTTTCTCTTGACTTTTTTTAGTGATTTTTCATTTGATTGTTTTCGTTTTGTTTGTTGTTCTTCTTCGGGTTTTGTTGCTGTTTCCATTGGAACATTAGAATTTCCTTGTGAAGTTGATGATGCTCCAGTATTATTAGCATAAAGATTAGCAACCATTTGATTCATTGTATTAGGACGCTAAACTAGATCGATTCGATAAGATTTCAAAATGAATCATTTTTTTTAATAAATTTCTCACATGAGTAGCTTGTTGATCCCATTCAGCTTCGGAATCGGATGATCTATATTACAAATATAAACTGATAATCTTTTTTTTTTTAATAATCAAATTTACGTTGCATTTTCTTTTAAATTTTCATCTTTCGATGATACAAATGAAAGAAATTCATTATCAGTTAATAAAATTTCATATGCTATTTAATATAAGAAGAAAAAAAAACATTGTTTTAAAAATTTAACAATTATTTATAATAACCTTTTTCAACAGAACGGGTGAATGGTCGTATTTTTTGTCGTTGATATTCTCTAAAAACGAAAATTAATACAATAATCAATACAAAATATTCTTTTTCCATTTACCGATATCGATCTTTTAATGCTTGTGCAATTTTATCTAAACTCCATCGTATTCGTTTTCCATCCTCAAGTAGAAACTATATATACAGAAAAAATAAAAAATAAATTCTTCTTATTTTAGAATTTCATTCTTTCATCATTATATTACTTCTTTTAATTGTGACACTAACAGATTATGAACCATATATGGTGCTGGCATCTGAAATAAAAAAACAAATTCTTAACGCAATTCTCATAGAATTAAAATGCAAAACATGATCTAGCTGCTCATACCAATCACGGAGAGATTTCTTCATTCTATCTGCTTTTGAACATATGTCTCCATCATCCTCTTACTTAATCTTTTAGAAATTCAATAAGGAAGTAGGTCATATATTAGAATGAGACATTATTGATATATAGTCTTTGATCGAATATCAACAACTTTCTTACACAGTCTATGATGGAAAGGGAAACCATTTTTAAAGCGTCTGTCACAGCTTGTGGAGGTAGAGGATTCAAATTTCTTTTCTATATACTTCAACACTTCTTTCAGATCATGTTTCATAAAACATGCAACTTCTTTTTCTTTTTGGACAAATAATACAATACAACCAACTACAATCAAACAAGTTAGTAGTTAAACTCTACATTAACTGAAACAGAAAAATAGAAAAAAAAAAACATTTGTTCGGTTTTAATTATGATTGATATACGTATATATATATAATGTTTGTTTGTATGGTTTTTTTTTCTTTTATGTAAATTCAACATAATTTTCCCAAAAAGCAATAACAGCCTGAGGATATTTTTGATTAGCAATTTTTGATGAAATCCATTGTGATTGATTTTCATTAATTAATTTAATACGGAATGATATTCCATCTTGACTATTTCGTACAGCTTCGATTTTTTCAACCTTATCGGTTTCATCAATTATTTCAGATGCATTTTGATCATTTAATTCATTTACAGTCGAAATTGTTTGATTATTATTATTATTATTATTATTTTTATTATGATTACTATTATCATTCTCATTATGCGTGGTAGAAATAGATGATGTTGAAATTGGTGTAACATGAAGAAGAAGACTAGCTGTCGTTGGTTCAGTAATATTATTTTCGTTTGTTGCACTTTCATCTGGAAATTCAACACTATTATTATTAATGTTAATATCATCATCATCAATAGTTATAATTGATTTTTCATTAGATGTATTTTCAATTTGAACAATTTTCTTTTCTAATTCTTTTATTGATGGTAATTCTTCTTCTTCTTCATCATTAATATCATCATCATCATTCGAGTTTTGTTCATTAGCTAAAAGGAGATTTTTTTTCTTTGTGTAAATTAATTGATGAAGCAAAAATTCATAGAAAAAATTTCGCTTTATTTTTCGTCTGATAAAACACGTTTCAAACAAATCAAAAAGTTCTATCATGGTTTTTCTTTGAGTAGTAAACGCATCTTTATTAATACTTAAAATTAGATCTTCTGAAGCCTTCGCATAGCCGTTCGAAAGTTTCTGAAGACTTGCCTTTAAAATTTTTCCTTGAACATGGTTTATCATAATTTTCGATAATCTAACAGTGTTAAAAATTGGAGCCCAACCAGTTGTACTATTGTCAAGAAATGTTTGGACTATTAGGAAAACACTTGACATTGTCTGAACGTGTTCGGATAGTTTTGGAATCTGAACTTTGAGACAGAATTTCAGTATGGTACATGCCTAGTAAAGAGTAATCTACAATGGCTGCAATACAGATAATGGATATTTTAGTAGTTTTCGAATTTTTCTGATGCGCTCCACCCCGAATACTATTGCTGTTTTCTTCATTAGAGTGATCTTTTAATTATTAACAAATTTGATGAAAAATAATATGATATTGCTTAAATATCAGTTCCTTCGACCAGCCATCATTGCACACGCTCTTTACAGCCTATAATTTAGTGTTACACTTCAGAATGTGTTCATTACTCAAAGTTAGACATAATATAACTATTTTAAACATATAATTAAAAGATACTTTTAACATAGACTCTGAATAGATTTTTTTGATGCATATGTTTTAGTCGATGAAAAATGAAGCGAAATCTTCTCATGAAGTTTTTCATTAGCTGTTACATATAAACTTACACATCGATGAAATACGAAATTTTGTTTGTTTAACAATTTTTCGATTTGAATGACGTCGAGTTGATGAAGATGCAACAACTTTTTTACGTGTATTATGACGTGTAACAATTCGATTGTCACCATCATGGTCATCATCACTATTATCTTCATTTATAGTTGAATCAATACAATTTTCTGTATTTATTGATTTATATTGATCATTCTCATCATCTTTATTACCATCTTCCATATTTGTATTTTTAGATTTTTCCGATATTGTTTGATTTTTTGATCTTAATTCATGATGTGAATATGATGTGTTTTCATCATCTTTCTTTTTTAAACTTTTTTCGAAGTCTTTAATCAAAGCTGGACAATTTAAATGACTTTCATCTTCCCACTAAATACAATAAAATAAAACATATATATATATATAAAAAGAAAAATTTCAATTTTAAATTGTTTAAAAATGATTCATTATGCGAAGTTATTTAGTAAACAAAACAACATTTCACAAAACAAAGTTAATTATATCGATTGCATTTTTTTTTTATTACGATTGAATCTTAGAGCAGTGCTAAAATTAGCATTACTATAAGCAATAGAATCATGCATACAAATTCTAATAAGTAATATGTGATATTAATCAATAATGTATCATTTTTTAGAATTTGTTAGTAGTTTTTTTTGTATCATTATCTAATGTTAATAGTTTCAAATACAAATACTTATAAAGAAGAATATTATCACTTCGATTTTACTTCATTGTTGGAACAATATTATCATAGCACAAAAAAATCAGCTGGAAAATTTGTGATTATACTTAAAAGAATACTTAATCAAAATATTTCTTATGTATAACACATTTGAAATCACATACGTAATCAAACGAATATGTGTCAGTCATTTTCAGATTAGAACTCTTTATTCTAATCAATAACCAATTTTATACATAATCATGTATTTATGCTAGATTTAAATAAAAATATATCCGAAAGTCATTAGATAAATGAGAGAAAATGTAGTATTCGGTTTAATATTCTATCTTAAAGACTAGCACTGTTATTGAGTGTTTCAACTTTAGTCGTAAAAGCAAAATAGTATAAATGTCAAAAACAAACAGGAAGATTTTTGAATATTTTCTTGTTCAGAAAATTAAAAAATTACGCAGCTAAATTCAAATACAATGTTTAGTATTGAAAAAGAAAGAATAAAAAACAAACTCTACTTCGATGTACTAAAAGATCTTTGAAATATAATATTCTGCACATGTTGTTCTTCTACTTTCATGAATGATGTAGGTGTAGCTTCTCTTGAGCCATATACCTACACATCAGTATTGATGATGGAGTAATGATATCTTCATTCAAAATCTTTCCGAATTTTATTCTATATTTTTCTAAAGTTTTTTTTTTTTTTAATTTTCACCAAAGTTGAGTTTATTCTGTTATTATCTTATTAAGAAATCATATTAAACGTTTTTTTTTTCGTACTTTTAAAAATTAGTTAAACATGATCTAAAGCTATAAATACTACAATTCTAATAAGCTACTCCCTTTACTTTAAAATTCGTCGATATTTGTTGAGTAAATAGAATTCAACTGCAAACATTTTGATAAAAAAAAACTATGATGAAATTTTTTGATATATAATTTTTTTTAAAATTAATTAAAGAAGAAAAAAACCTAAGGCGCGAAAACTTTGGGATAAAATATTCACTCTTATTTCGGTCACTGGTTAGAATCAAATTTTTAGTGTTTCAAAGATATTAACTGTTGAGTAGAAAAGCATTGATGAGATTTTATTACAAAGTCGGTACTTTACAATAATGTTATGTTGAAGCTGTTTTAAGACATAAACCAAGACATGTATTAAAATCATTATATTGCTTTGTCAAGACTCAATTTTGGACCTTTTTTTTTTTTTCTTTACAAAATTTACTGATTGTTGTTCAACCTTACCCTTGAAAGAAAACCTGAACATATATTTGAAAATAACAAAGTATTCTGCTGTTGGCTCTAATTAATTGTCTTTTTAGTGGCCAAAAACTGAGTGAATATTTTGTGCAAAACGTTCGTGCCAAAGATTATTTTTTTAAAAAAACATCTCGAAAAATCTTACCGTATTATCTGCATTTGAATAACCTTTCCATTTGAGAAGATATTCAGTTTTTGTGCCTCTAATTCGTTTATCAAGAATAGTTTCAACTTGATATTCATGCGAAGCATCATTATCACTACTTGACATATATTCACGTTGACGTTTTTTTGATGATCTCTTTACCATGCTTTTTCTAAATTCTTATCTGAAAAAAGAAAACAAAACAACAAACTAAACTATTATGTTTTATCCATCACAATGTTGATAGAAACGAGGAAATAAGATAACATCTCGAACATTATCAATACCGGTAATAGCCATTAAAAATCTTTCTATACCTAAACCGAAACCACCTGTTGGCATTCCACCAAAACGTCTTAAATCAAGATACCATTGTAATTCATTTGTTATATCTAATTGATCTAAACATAATTTTAAATTTTCATAACGATGTTCTCGAAGACTTCCACCAGATAATTCACCAATAGATGGAAATATAAAATCAAAATTAGCAACTGTTGTATCATCATCATTAAGTAACATATAAAATGGTTTTAAATTTTTAGGATAATTTATTATAAAAAATGCTTGATTATTCATTATATTTTGACAAAGATAATTTTCATGTGCACGATTAAAATCACCATTATCAGGAAAATCCTGAAAATCAACACTTTTTCTTAAATATTCAACTGCTTCTTTATAACTTATTCTTGGATAATTATTTTGATTAAGAAATTGATCAATATGTGTCGATTGAATTTTATGGTTAACTAGATATTTAAATTCTTCAGAACATTTACTATACATTTCAGTTACAATTGTTCGTAAAAGATCAATATAAGCATTAAGTAATTGATCTAATTTTGTTAGACCTAGAAGAAAGACAAGATAAATAGAGTGTATTCAATAGAAGACAATGATTTTTCATTAACACGAAACGATGAAATTCGTTCATGTTTTAACAGATGACGCCAGAATTCGTTGAGCCCTTTTTAATTTTAAAACTTTTTACAGTTTAACTATTCATAAAGTTTTGAACTAATGAAAAAACCTCTACAAGTGTCAACAAAAAAACACTTTTCGAGGGAAACGATGTTCACTTGATGAGTAATAGAAAAGTCTAAAATAATTTAGTTTTCCAAGCTTTCGTTCTTAAGATATCGACATTTTTCTGAATCTTGTAACAAAAAGTTGTGATATCTGGTCTCTCTCACAGATCACATGACTTTTGACTTCAAACTTTGCACGAGTAAAGTTTTCAATGATATTAGTTCATTGGATAAACTGTCATTTTTCTAGTATCTCTTTTCTTCACATATTCACTATTCGAAATTGTTTCAGATGTAAAAGCAAATTTTGTTCAGATATCTAAATATCTAGCAAGGAAATACTAGAAAACGTAAAACTTATATAATCAACTAATCCCATTAACAACTCTGTTTGTGCAAAGTTTGAAGTTGAAATTCTCATATTGAATTGAGGAAGATTACAGTATTGTATTGACAAATTCAATAATACTTCAATGTCTTGAGAATGCGAGGGTCGCGAAACTAGACTTTTCTATAATTCTCTAGCACTCATCAAATGAACGTTGTCTTGTTCGAAGAGCGATTTAACACTTGGAGATATTCTCTCGTGAGTACTACTTAAGTGAAAAAACGCATTGTTTAATGCTATTTGATTAGTTATAAGCAATGCATTCGTAGTTTTTCTGCATTATACATATAAACAATGATCTGAGATTTTTTTTTCATTGAAATCATGTCTGACAAGGATATTCTTCTTAGTTAATATAAGAAAATTCCATTCATTTTCTTATTCTACTTATAATACAAACTATTTATTAGTTCTTTAAATATATATAAGCTTTCACTATAATGATTAATCATAGGCACATGAAATTGTTGATATGTAGAAAAAAGACAAATGAAGCAGATTTAATACTTGTCATTCGATGAATGACAGCCAGACAGAAAGATAAGAATGACATAACCAATGACTCATCATAAAACTTATTTGATACCATACAATATATAGAGTGACTAATGAGGTTTAAATGATTATTTATCCTCTGTATACTTAATACAATAAATTCTATAGGGTGTGTAAAAATGTTTTTCTAATGGGATAACATTGCCATTTTAAACATGATGAACAAGAAATTTTATACCAAATAAAATTCCGTCTAAGATGGGATTTATCAATACTAAATAATAAGTACTATGATAACTTTATCAGTGTTGAATTCAAAAAATTCCAAAAATTTTACACCATATCAACAGAAAAAAATCCCTTTTTTGAGACATCAACTAGGTCATATATAAAATGATGAATATCAAAAAGGTAATATTTATATTTTTAAGATTTGATGAATATAATCAATAATCAGCGTGGCAGCCATTAGCCGTTTTACAGTAGGAAGATGAGATAGATACGAGCATAAAACAATTGGAAATAGGTGGGTAAAATTTTAGGAAATTCTTGAATTCGACACTGAAAAGTTATTATAATTCTTACGATATAATATTGATAAATGCCATGTTCGACAGATTTCATTTGGTATAAAATTTATTGTTCATGTTGTTTAAAATTGCAACATTATCCCCTTGAAAAAAAAAATTCTTACACACCCTATACATCACATCATCTTTTTATGATAAAATATAACGCATTCACTAATCGAACAAAAACATTTTACTAAATCTTATCTATAAGAAAGCACTTACACTACGTGTTATTTATAAGTTTTTCGATATAGGGTTCGTGATTCATTTATAGTTGATTTTCAATGATAAAATTCGATAAGACAATTCATACATTGAGTGTATTAAAGAGACCGAAAACAAACTCGAAATAATTCTTGAAAAGATATTTCAATAAATTGACTAAGCTATTATCAATTTTGAAAAAATGTGATACGCTCGGAAAAAAAAAAAAAACAAATTTTTATTGTTTGGTTTTACATGTTTAATTTTGTTCTTTAAATAGTTCTACCTCTGTGTTCGTTCTTGATTGACAATTAAGATAGATTGCCCCATTTTAATTGTTTCCAAATTGGGCCATGGTTAATCTTCAATCAAGATTAATGAGGATAACATCTTATATTCACAAGTTATTCTACAACGCAAAACATTAATCTAATTGATAATAAAAAGCTGTTGGACCTATTTCAAGCGTATGAGAGAAGAGAGTTCGACAAAGTATACTTGACCATGAAATCGGGTCGCACGATAAAAGCTTTTTTTCGCGAAGAAATACAGTCTATTTATGGTATGGTTGTTCTTTTTCTTATTTCTTTGTTCCTGCCATATGCCAGACTCCTTCAACGTGTGGAAGCACTAATAAACTATCTTTGCCACTCATGTCAGTTTTCCTAATTAGTTGAGAAAAATGGCCAATATAGAAATGGATCAAATCCGGAAAACATTAGATTGAGAAAAATCAATCAGGAATCATTTGGAACGACATCGTAATGGTCTTTTTTCTATTCATGACAGTTACACTATTAATGTTTCTCACGATGGATCAGTTCTATGTGATATTAATTCTTTCCTATATAAAGTTTCGCTAGTTTTCTGTACTGTGACGAATAGTTGTTGAAAAGATAATCTGAAATGAATTTTGACTGGAAAACCTTGCTTTTCCCTAGGTTCGCATTCTAGAACATTACGACCTTCATTTAACATTGTTCGAGCGAGCTGAAAATTTTACTGCTGCCCTTTATAATTATTCTTCAGAGGTATAATCAGCCGTTTACGTTGTTGACTCTCCTACCTAGATTTACAGAACCTGAAAGTCAAGACTCCAATTTTGGCTCTGAGCCTCTACGTATTTCTGTCATAACAAAAAGAAACTAAGATTTTTGGAAAAGTTTAGAGTTATTTCGGCAATATAGTCTTAAGGATGTTCAAACGAATTCTTAGCCTATTGAGATAAAGTTTGATGGGAGTTAGCAGCAGTCAGGATGCAGCCTTATGAACGACTAAGGTTTTCTAGCAAAACTCTACTTGGCGCCTTTAAGAACCAGAAACGGGCAAAAAAGAGCGCAAGGTTATCCCTAATTTTAATCTTCAATGTCACAAACGATATTAATTCAGCTCTGTCATGACTGAGTAGCGATGGTGCACGACACGTATCTGTAAGATACTATCTTTAAGCCTTGATGTCACAAGCCATGAAACAACCTTCAATAAGCCACTAACGAATACTTATCTTAGGTTATCTGTTCTATAGTATATCGACTACGTTGGTACATACATGTGTTCTCATAGCTCATATGTGGCAATAATGTACTGAGTTTGCCACTAGGCAGTACTCGAGATCGCAAGATAACTAGAAGGCAGAAGTAATAAAAAAAAGACCTAGTCTACTAATTGTCTATTGTTAGAGTCAACGTTCTAATGATGAGCTTTAAATAATTGTACCTACCAGCAACTTCAACTTCTAACATCCAAAATTCTGCTAAATGAAATCGACTTAAATTTTTATCTGCACGAAATGCTGGATTAAGTGTATAAACACGTCCAAAACCACTAATTTTAAAAATGAAAAAAGTTTTGTTAGAAAACTAAACATTGTTTTTTTTTTCTTTTACTTAGCTGCTGTTTCAAGATGTAATTGTCCTGAAACAGTTAAATAAACTTGTTTATTAAAATATTCTTTTTCTATACGAGTTGTTTGTGATTGATATGGTTGAATCTGAAATGTTTCACCACCACCTTCACAATCATTTTGTGTTAAACATGGCGTTTGAATATGAATAAAATTATGTTTAAAAAAATATTCATATAAACTAAACATTAATTGACTTCGTAAACGAAAAATAACTTGTGAAAATGTTGAACGTAAACGAAGATGTTCATTTTGACGTAACATTAATAATGTTTGTTCAAATTTGGGTTTAAATGGATAATCAGATGCATCACATGAATTTATTAAATTAATATTATCAGCTTGTAATTCAAATTCTTGTTTAGGATGATCACTTCGAACAAGTTTACCTTGTACATTGATTGAACAACCATATGTTAAATGAGGTAAATGTGGATGTTTATCTAATGATGCAACAACTTGTAAATGTTTTTGATTATTTGTTAATGAACCATCGAATAGATCAAGAAAATAATGTGTTTTTAATTTTCTTACATTGAGAAGATAACCGATTAAATTTATTGATTGATTTAAAGGTTTTTTATCATATATTTCACGTATTGTTAAAGGATAAATTGTATGAGTAAAACGAGTTGTATAAAGAATATTTCTTGGTAATTGTCGAAGATTTAATATTAATGATAAATGAAACATCAGAAATAAACAAAAAAAAAGAACTTTTTTTTTCAAATGAAAATTTTGTTTATTGTTATAGATAAATCTATTCGATAGTGAGTTTTATTGTTATTTTAACAAAAAAAAAAAAAAACTTTAAATTATAAATAAATTTTATAATGTAAGAAAAGATGAACGCTCTCTCTGTTTATTGGATAATTTCACAGTCAAATATTTTTAGTAAGGCAAAGATTCCTTGTTGAATAAGTTTTGCGAAGAAAAATAAGAAGTTTTCAACTACTTTTTTTTAATGCAGCTATTAAAAGAAAAGCTTCTTGATTAGAAACATTTATATAATAAGATTGATTATCTTTAAAAACAAAACAAGTAGTAAAACAAGTCATTTTGGATTAACGTCAATAGTTGTAGGAATCGAGATTGTATGAAGTTAGCCTAAGTTAAGGTTAGCTAAACTCAAGTTTATTCATTAGTCCATGTTATACTTATTTTCCCATATATGATGCAGAGACTTATCAATAGATGCCCTCAGTTATCGATCAAACATTTCAAGGTTCCGTTCTTCTTGAAAAATATGGTTTTTATAGATAAATAGGAAAATTTTTGTTCGGTTTTTGTACATTTTCTATGATGCATCGCAGAACCTCCCTGAATGATTGACTACTTTATCTGTGTATTTATTATAATGCAAGAAATATGCAGGTTGGTCTATAAATATCACTACAATAAAAAAATGCAATGTTTCTGCTTTGATTCAATTAAGTAGGCTGATTTTTTTGTTTAATAATAGAGGTTTATTCAAAACTTTCTCCATTCGGATAAAGTCATCTAATATAACTATGAAGTATTATGCTTGCTATCAATATTCGACATGGGTCAAATTTTTGTAATTCGAGCTGGAGTTTGTCTAAGACCCCTGTATCATCATTGAGCAGATATTGTATTCGCTATACATTGTTATTCGACGTTAGTAAAGATAAGTCGATAAAGTAGAAGAAAAGAGCATATGGTGCATAACTTGTTCTACAATACTTTTTCACGTTCTTTGATAGAGATTTTTAAATGAAAGCAACATTGACAAAGCTTGCCTGCAAAATGTTTAGACTGCAAATCCGATCGAAAATTCAAACATTTTTTTTTTATTATTTGACTCGAGTCAGACTGCTGTTGTTATCAAGTAGGGCAAAATACATCTGTAACGTTTTATAGATAACTTTCAGTTGTTATCTAAGAGAATACGAAGACAAAATGGAAACGAATATTATGAATGATACTACAGGAAACGTTAAAATATTTTTCCAAGAGAGTAACGCCGCTATTTCAAATAACATGAATAACAATTTTCGCACCAATGTATGTCATCGCATATGAAATATGTATTTTATAAAGTTTCTTCATCAAAACGATTGTGTTCCGTCTCTAATTGTCATTTTCTTCAAATTCAGTTTTGATTATTGTTCCAATATTTCAAGGTCAAGTATATAGCACTTTGTGATATTAATCCTTTGATACAAGCATTGAAATGCCTTGTTGAAAGGCAAAAAATTCAAGCAGTACATATTTTGTAGTATAGCTTTTAATCAACAAGCTAATGTACAATAAAAAAATGCCAAGTTTTAATTTCGAAGCACAATATAGAGAAAATTCTAAGAGAATAAAATTCAGGTTCTAACTCATAGATTTTAACTCGTCGGAAATACTTTCTAGTCGGTTAAAAGTGAACAAATGTCTTTTCTGAAGACTTTCTGATCAGCCATTATTTTCACTTATTTGTTGAAATAAAATATCAGATGAATTTTTGTATTTATGTTTTTACTAAAATGCTTTTTTTGCTTAAAGAAAATCCACAAATAAAAAAACAAAAAACGAATGTTTTAATCATACAATTTTTTTTTATCAAAGATCTTCATCATCATCTTGTTCTTGTTGTAATTTATTTTGGGCAGCAACAAGTTTTTGTTGTAAACTTTTAGCAAAACTATCCACATATGATTTTGATTCATGTGTTAAAAGAGCTTGTAATGATTCATAATAAGTTGTTGATGATTGACTGTTATCATCAAAATGATAACCTACAACTCGATAACCTGCTTGTGTTAGTTCAATACAAAATTCTACATTAGCATTAGATTTTATATTTAAATATGCTTTTGAAACATTATTTGGATTATTAAGACGTTTTGATAATTGTTTTTCAGCAACAATACCATCACCTAAATCATCTAATGCTAATTGAGCTTCAGCTAAGAAATCACCTTGTTCAGCAGATAATTGATTCATATCTGAAAAAAGTCTAAAACAAAAAAAAAGAAGTTAAATCAAATGATCTAATGTTGCTATGTCAAAATTGTGTTTTTTTTTTTTTTATTTTCGATTCTTTCGAATTTTTGTTTTTTTTTCTGATGATTTCAACAGAATCTAAATTTTATACTTCGAAAAATTCAATTTCTGAATCTTTACAAATACGAACTAATAAACATCGTTGTTTTGTGTTTTGTATTGGACATACATCATTAACATGTGTACCAGGTATTGGTAAAAAAAATAAATATTTATTAAATCAATCTGGTATACATGATTTAACAACACTTTATTCAAAATATCGTTCAATAAATAATATTGAAAATTTTAAACAATGGTTAAAAAATGATATTGGCTTTACATCATATCAAGCAAAAATGACAACATGTGGACTTAGTACAAAATTAGGAAAAATTCAAGAACTTGATAAAGGTTTAATACCAATTTGTTGTTCAACAAAAGAAAGACGAGAAGAAAAATATAAATTATTATTTCATAATAAAAATATTAATAAGCGAATTCACAATATGAAATTAATAAATGAAAAAAATAAAAAGTTAAAAATTGAAAAAAACAAATCAGAAAGTTTATTAACAAATTCTTCTTATGATCAAACAGGTAAATTTTCGTTTTTTTTGAGAAATATTTTTCATGTAATTTTTTTATAATAAGAAAGTCTAAAATTATTCAATACATTAATGCAAGAAGAAACTAGTTTATTATCTCATGAAGTTTCTTTCGGTGAAAAATTTAAAGCAAAAGAAATATTAGAAACAAAACTAATGAAATTTAACTCATCTTCAATGATTCATGAAACTACAAATGTTAATATTGATTCAACACAATCAACAATACAGAACAGTTCGTCATTGGATATGAATAATATACAAAATATAGATTCAAACGAAACAACTACATCACATGAATTTCCTAAAATTAATTTATTATCAGACAGTGAGCATTCAAAACAATTAGAAATAAATCAAATTCACAACAATATTGACAAAACACTATCAACAATAGAATCATCCAATATTTCTGAACTACAGCAATCTAAAGACAATCGAGATCAACAAATGAAAATTAACTATTCCAAAGAGATTACCACTAATTCTATACCACAAGAATTCGATTCAATTTCATCATCTGAATTACCGATAGAAAATAAAGCTCAATCAAGTATGTAGATTTAAAACTCGCTGAAATGAAAAAAAAAACATGTTGCATTTCATTAAGGAAGATCACAAACTAATACAAATGTTATTTCACAACATTTTACTTCTCTGACTGGTAATGTTATGAAAAATCAATTCGTTTCGTGTCGAAATTTCAAAGAAAAAAAAATGAATGCATGTTAATGTCTTTATCATTTTAGAACAAGAATTTTCATCCAAAGAAAAAAATTCTATATCTCATTCCACTCTTGGTAATTCTTGAGATGTAAAAGATAATTGAAAATAAAATCAAGAATTACCAATCGATTACTCACTGACCAGGGAAATTCTCTAAGTGATAAATCGCTTTTCAGTAACAATAAACTACTCTTATTAAATCCTATCTCTATACAAAGTTTTAAGTCAAAATTCAAAAATCAGTTTTTCAGGACTACAATATTCATTCAAAACATACCGTAAAAGTGTAATATCATTGCAGCAATAATCTAAGGGTATAAAGTCTTTTTTTTCCTTATGAATCTGTTCGATCATGTTTTTTTTTCGCATATTTACTTCAATTTATTTTACAGAAAGAGAAAAAGAGTTACCATTAATGAATATCGATATGTTAATTTCATACAAGTCTTCTATTGACAATAAAATACCAATTGCGATGATCGATGATCAAACAAAAATTCATCCTTGTTCGATTTTCGTATCAAACGATTTACAAGAGAAAAAAAATGAATCTGTTTCCAGTTCACAAACTTCCCCGAACTCATCTATCGGAAATAATTTTCCAAGAAAATCAATTTTACGTAGTACACAATCAAAATCTATACATCAACTCAATACTAATATTCTTCTAGCTTCAATTAAACAAAAACAAAAAGAAGCACAAATACAAAATAAATCACTTCAAATAATAGAATCGTCAACAATTGATTCAAATAAAAAATTCCAAGCAAATGAAATATCATTGAATAGAATACACGATAAAAGTATCTCAGCTATTAAACAATCTTACGCCTTATTGCCCATTTCAACACCAGCTGTAAGAAAATTCAAATTAATATATATTCTTTCGAATAATAATTACAGATATTTCCAATAAGACCAAAATCCAATACTTCAAAGTCCATAAAATTATCTTCAGACAATAATCTGACACCAAAAATAGGTCAGCAAATGCTATCCGATACTAAGTTCAACGTAATTAATTCAACAGCATCGGTAAGTTTCTGCAAAAAAAGCTGTTTTGAAAAAGTTTTCATTTACTGACAATTTCTCTCGCTTAGTCTAATAATCCTCTATCAAAAGATAAAAAACTACTATCCAATCGAATCATGAACGATCTCAATACTCAAAATAAAACAATTTTTCCGTTTCCCAGTAGTTTTAAGTTTATCTATTTATTGATTGTTCTAAATATTTTACAGATGAATACTCGCAAGACTATGTTGTTAATCAATCTGATTCATCATTGAATAAATCTCAACAAAATCAATTTCAAGAACAAATTGAAAAAATTGTTCGTCGTATAATGAAACAAGCTACACATATTGTCAGTGAAGTTCTACAAACATCACAAGCCAATACTATATCATTTACTAAAACTAACTCAATAGAATCGTCTTCTATTCAAATGCCAATATTTGAAATGAAAAATTCTAATGATAAAGCACAATCTATAATCTTATCACAAAGGCAAGATGATCAACATCGTACTACACCATCGAAATGTATTCCATTAGCTGAACAACTTGCTCAAACAGGATCAAAAAAGCTAACAACAACTTTAGAGTCTAATAGTAACGATGTTCGATCTCTACAATTATTAGAACAAGATAGTTCAGTACGAAAAAAGTACTTTTCTTTTACCAATGATCGATTAAAACAATCATTTACAAACACAAGTTCTCTAAATCCAATAAATCAATTTAAAAATAAAGAAAATTCTTATGAAAACTCGACATCTACACATATTCAACAAGGATCTAACAACATATTTCCCATTGTACATCTTATCGACAAGATAACAAATAACCTTACCTCGCTATCAAACACAGGTTCTCAAAAGATCAAAAATATAAAATCAAACAGTCGATATATAACTACATCTAGATTGTAGAGATTATTATTATAGTTAAACAAGGAAAAATGTTCTCAACACAGAATCGGAGCGAGACAAAAACAGCTGCATAATAGAATCGAGGCAGAATTTATTATGTGGAAAAGATTATTAATAAAACATATTAGAGCAAAGAGAAGGTTAACATACCCAGACCCACCACATTTTTGTCTCTCTCCTTCGGATTCTACTTTGTAGAAATTTTTTTCCCTCAAAATAAGGAAAATGTCTGTAATCAAGAAAATATGCTATAAATGTCTTCTTCTATTTCAATATTAGGAAACACATTAGATGTAATCTCATCATCTTTTCTGTCTAATTTATTAATCAATGAATCTAATAAGACACAATCTAATTCGATTTTTCAAGGTACTAGATCAATCATTTCACGGGTAATTGACAACTCATTGCCTAACTCAAATAAAAATGATTCTTTAGCAAAATTAGGTATTCAAAATAACGAAAAAATTGTTCCTGTAACAGTAAAACAACAGTTACTTGTTTTTTTTGTTTCAGGAACTACAGAGCTCAAACCACAAAACTTAGAATCATTACAAATAAAATGCTCTCATGAGAAAAGATCTCTATCAACACTCTGTAATCTACTTGTCAATTTCTAATAATTATATTACTCTTATTTTAGCCTCATTATCATCAAGTTCTATGCAATCAATACATAATATTAATTCATTTATAGATAAAGTACAAACTAATTCTACTGATAAAAACTATTTCGAAAAAGAAACAAATTCAATAATTAAACACGATTATGTACTTTTAAATACTTCAACTAGCAAGAATAAATTTGAATCAATATCTACATCAAATTTGAATCAAATATCTGATTTTACTACTGAAATTTCTATGAATAGAATTTCAACAGAACATCACAAACAAACATCACTATTAACTACAACTCTTTTCAATGACAATAAAAAATATAAACTGTAAGTTAATACTTCGTTTCAATTTTCTTCTTCCTTGTTATTATTCCACTTAGTAATACTACAACAATGATACCATTTTATCATTTAAATCAATTACCAATATCACAGAAAATAAAAGATAATGAATTCATAAATAAAAATCTATCTGAAATAATAACTGAAAATGAAATACTGGATCGAATATTTAATCCATCAACTCCTAAATCATGTTATCCTATTTGGAATAATATATCAAATGAAAAACTTCTATCTCAACATAAAAATAATCATTTGATTTTAATAGAAAAAGATAAATTTTCTAAAGAAAATAATCATAATGATCATAATCAAAATTATCATTCATCAACTACATTATTTACATTTATTACAAGACAACAATACGCAAAAGAACAACAAACACTTAATGAACATATTCTCTATGTTAAACAAACCAAACCTTTATATAAATCATCATAGTAACAACCTGAACAAGTTTCATTCTAATATGATCAAATTGTGTTTAATTTGTACAATAAAAATTTTTGAACCAATCATTTTTTTTATGTATGATATTAAAGGACCTCTATAGGAACAAACGAGACCAAAGAGGATGTTGCTAGAGACGAATAATATTAATGAGTTATACATTTCATATTAAGTAAAACACGACCTTCTTGTAAGAATTTCAATTTCATTTTTATAGTGCAGCTATGGTATGTTTATTTTCTAAAATATTTTTTTATTTGAAATTGAAATAGAAGAATATGTCATGAAATATTATTTTAGGCTCCAAAAAAAGGTGGCAAGAAGAAGAAATCACCTAAAGCACCGACCATCATTGATGGTCGTCCAGCTGCTGAGGTTTGTTTTATTTGATTTCTTCAATTATTTAATTGATTTTATAAAAATATTTATTATAAACTTAGATGACAAAAGAAGAATTAGAAGAACATTTAGGTCGTATACGTGAAGAACTTGATCGTGAACGTGAAGAAAGAAATTATTTTCAACTTGAGCGTGATCGTATCAGTACATTTTGGGAAATAACAAAACGACAACTTGAAGAAAAAAAAGCTGAATTACGTAACAAAGATCGAGAATTAGAAGATGCAGAAGAACAACATCAAGCCGAGATTAAAGTAAGATTTATATAAAGTTTTAGATCATCTGAAAATAAAAGAAACATTGCCATGCAAGGTGATCACAAAAGAGAATCAGAAGAGTTTAAAGTTTATTTAAATCTTGACATTGACTATTTTTTATCTGATGTATGTCTAACATATTCATTAATACTATATTATAAGAGCAAACAATACAGATCAAGTCGATCCAAAAACCATACGATTACATATGTATTGATCGAATCCAGTGTATCATTCATGAAGACCGTTAATCAGAGAGAGAAGGCAATAATATTCCATTAAAACCTAGTTTTTGTTCAATAATATTTTGAATCAATCTAAACCTCGAAAAAAATGACATTCAAGTGTAACTTAGCTTCGATTGCCTAGATTGAATTGAAAAGACTTAAAGAAGTTATGAATATATTACGTTAACCTACTGACAGTTGGTATGGATCATAATTTATATGAAGATGATTTTATTGTGCAAGGTTGCAGCAAATCTGTTTTCAGAGAATACAATTAAAAAGGCTAAGAATGTTTTTATGTCAAATGAAAGCCTATCCAAAGCGAGATTTAAGAATATAACTGATAATTCAGAAAGTAATAATTTACTAGAGAATCACCTAAACTTCCAAAATCTTAAGAATACAATTGTGTACTTTCATGGATAATCACTTGTCAAAACCAAAGTTTTTTTTTGACAAATATAAGGCGATGCTAGGGTCAAAATATTTAAAAACATCATAGCTCTATCAATAGATCTACTTGAGTTTTTTCGGTGTTCTGATTCTTGTACTATCATTTCTGTAACATAAAACTTTTTATTACTAAAATTATTAGCATAGATAGTTCCCACAAAGTCTGATAGACGAGAAAAAAAATGGTCCGAAAACTTTTAGTTTTTATGGCTAACTATCAGTGAGTCACATTCCCATGATCATGTTAATGTTTATGAATATATTAAGTCAAGAGTTATAACTAATCACAATTGTAGGAAAAATATCGGGCTATTGGATCTGCCACGAGACAACACTTCATGCTGCAATATCCTTCTCCATTGGATAAAGAAAGCTAATTCAATGAATTTTTATTTACATATAGGTTTACAAACAAAAAGTAAAACATTTACTTTATGAACAACAAAATAATATTGCCGAATTAAAAGCTGAAACTATTGCTGAATTAAAAGTAGCACAAGAAGGTCATAATGAAGCCGAAAATTCAATGTGGAAAGAAAAACGAGAACTTAAAGTACAAATGAAAGATCAAGAATTAGCTCAACAAGAAGTTGTACGAAATTTGAAAAAGGTTTGATTGTATTTGTTTATTTATCTATTTTTATCATATTTTACTTGAAATATATTCTTAGTCCAATGAAACATATGTATCAAAATTACGTGATGATTTTCTTCGACAAGCTCGTGAAATCGAAGAAAAATATGAGAAAAAATTACGTGATTTACGTGAAGAAATGGAATTACGTCGTAAAACTGAAATACATGAAATTGAAGAACGAAAAAATCAACAAATTAATGATCTTTTACGTAATCATGAAAAAGCATTTAGTGATATAAAAAATTATTATAATGATATTACATTAAATAATCTTAATTTAATTAATACACTTAAAGTAAAAGGAATTAATTTTGCTATATATCAATATTGATTGTCTATTTTTTTTTTTTTCTTAGAATGAAATTGAAAAGAAAAAACAAGAAGAAGAACGATTAGAAAAACGTATGTCAGAGCTTGAAAATGAAAATCGAAAAATGCGTGAACCACTTGAAGCAGCAAGAAAAGAAACTGAAGAATTAAGACGACGAGCAGAAAATTATGAAAAAATTAAAAGTTTATATGAAGTATAAATAATTTGAAATTTTTTTCGTTATCTATAAAAGAAATTCATTAAACTATTTAGAGTAAGAAAACTCAATTGAAAAGTTGTGAAGGTGATTTAAAAAATTCGAAATGGGAATATGAAGTTTTATTACAACGATTTGAAATTGTATGTTTTTCTTTGTGATTTTAGTAATAATTATTAAAATTTGGTTTTTGTATCATTTAGATTCAAAAAGAACGTGATGATCTTTATAATAAATTTATTAAAGCTATTAATGAAGTTCAACAAAAGAGTAGTTTAAAGAATTTATTATTAGAAAAGAAATTATCTACGTTGGCTGATAGTCTTGAAAAGAAAGAAGCTCAATTAAATGAAGTATTATCGGCATCCAATCTTGATCCAGCATCATTATCAGTTGTTACACGAAAACTTGAAGTAAATATTCTTTTCTTTCAGGTTTTACAAAATTTTACTTAACCTTTGCTTTTTCTCTCACTGTATTATAGGAAGTACTTGATGCTAAAAATACATCGGTAAGTGTTTTAAGGCTTACTTCTATTATAAAGACGTATGAATTCTCACAATGATTTTTTTAAACTAAATCATATGATAAAACTTCATAGTTTCATTGACATTTTAAAGAATGAAGATTAGGATTTACGAAGAATGCAATTAGGACATTTCATGGTCATATTAAATGATCAAGTTTTATCATATACTATTCTCAGGGTGATAGGCTTTATCAAGATTGAGAAAATACAATAGTTGTGACTACTCAATCTAACTGTTGTGTATATAATAACTTATTTGTCAGAGAAGAGTAGACGAAAATAATATATCAATGGTTTGCTTCAGTTCCATTCAGATACCAATACTTAGCTGTATAGTTTACATTATAGATTACTCATCTTCAATGTATCTTAAAGTCAAATTCTGCACTGTTAAATCAGAAGTTTTCTGTTATTGTTTCTGAAAAAAAAACTGAATTTTTTTTCTTTCTTATAGATTCGTGATTTACAATATGAATTGGCTCGTGTTTGTAAAGCTCATAATGATATATTAAGAACATATGAAGCTAAATTACGACAATTTGGTATTCCGATTGAAGAAATTGGTTTTAAACCATTAGAGAGTACAGTAGCTGGTCAACAATTAGGTCGAGGTGTTGCTGGTCTTGTAACAAGTCCACCATAATAAGACTGACTCTAGTGAAATGTTGTAAATTTTATTTATATTTACCACAAATCTTTCTTCTTGAGCTGCTGCTTCTTTTTTTATTTTTTAATGCAAAAAAAAAATAAAATCAATATGAATTATTGGACTCATACAGTCCAACGACAGAAAAACCGCTTGATACATGTAAAATGATTACTTGTACAATACAATAGAAAAACAATTAAGAAACCGATAGAATACACTCAACAACTATGTAGTCTAGATATAATGCCTTGTTGATTAAAAAAGTTAGAAACTAATAAAGAAGTGCCTTCCATTAGATCAAATTATCTTCGTTGTTATTCTTCGAATAATTCTTTCATTGTCTTTAATTTTTTTCTGTTAAATATTTTTAAGCAATGTCTATTTTTTTGAATAAGAATCTTGTTATACTCAATACAAAGAACTTTATGCGTATTGTTATTGAAACAAATATAGAAAATACTAAAGTTATATCTGATTTCGATAGAAGAACTGTTAAACGAAGCAAAACCATTACTACTATTGTATTATGAATAGATGGTGTGGGATGGCTGTGGCTGTGAATGTCTCACTAGATGTCGGTGTGAGGACGGAACGAACATCCACATCCACATTCATTCGGTCTTGCATATCTATCGAAGTAATATGATATTATATATCCTATATATCATTTGTCGTTTATCGGATGTCGTGCAGCGAACAACTAATATCTGTTGATGAACTTAACGCTTCAATTTGTTTCTTTTTTAACGGTGATTTTTTCTCTTCTTTACAAATCAATTAAATACTTTCATATACTGCCACTTAGTTTAATCTCATTCAATGAGCTTTAAGCTTTTTCCGGACACTTTAAAGTACTTGTACGCACTTTTCAGCAATTTAATGTAGTTGGAAATACTTTGGGATATTTTGAAGGTATCTTAAAGTACTTTACGATAATTTAAGGGTGTTTGAAAGTACTTTGGGATACTTTAAAGATATTTGAAAGTACTTTGCAATACTTTGAATGTACTTGGAAGCACTTCTCGGTACTTTGATGTAATTGGAGCTACTTCTATATACTTTAATCAAATTAAGATAACTTCAAGTTACTTTTATTTTTTCATGTACTTTTCTACTTCAAGTACGCTTTTCCCCTAGATATACCCTCTTTTGTTATGGAGGACTAGGGTATCCAGATAGTCTTTACAATTATTCATATGAACATACAGTGAGTACCAAACTTGATCAACAAGCAGAATGAACTTTTTTTGGGGAGTTCATATTTCTACGATTCTATGGACTGTAATACTCCAAATCTATTCATAGTGTAGCCCATTTCATCTAGTATAGACGCACAAAATTTCAAGTTAACTCACCACTCTATTCTACGATTATTGAACAAATAAACGAATGAAGTGGTTCTTGACTGTTCTAGAATTCATCAACAACTTGTCTTCATGATTATCTACTAGATAATTTTAACTACCAATTTTATTTATAGCAGATTGTTTGGAAAGAGCACATTTCTCTCTGAACGCTAAATTAACTTGCATTGTATCATCTCTTTTAAGAATAGTCAATCGAAGATAATTTATAGAACATACCGATGATATAGTGAGAAGATTTGATAAAATGACACATTGTATTTTAGTGTTTAACTGTTTTTTTTTATCTCTATGGTACCATCTGAAAGAGTGTAAAAACCTGTATCAGAAACAGTATTTGATTGATTATTTTATCGTAGAAACTAAAGGTAGTAACTTCTTATTGACAAATCAATTGTATTTATTTTGTACAAAATTTATTGTATTCTCTCATTTGCATAAGTAACGGGATAGGCAATTTAATTTATGAATGCTGTAGGTTTGTAGAGAATTCTTTTCTCTACAAGCTGGTTGTCTTCAAAACCAACTGCATCTTTATTAACATGAGCATGACATCGACGTTTAGGTGGCAAGCTCAGAAACAAAAATTGAGAACAGGAATAGGAACAAACTAGAACAAAATTTTTCTAGTCAATAGCTGATTCATTGAAGACTATTTTTTTGCGTAGCACTTCGTGCTGTTTCGGATGAGGCATTATGTGAAGAGTTTTGACTATTTCTTAGAAAAGCCAAGTTTAGATATGTGTTTTGAATTAATGCTCATACACACTCACACCTTTCTTTGAAATTCTCCTGCATTATCTTTTCGACTATAAACATAACATACATTCGTCGTTTAATATGAATTCAAAAACAATTTATTGAAGATTATTTAACTGTTCAACAAAATTAGTATTTGGACGTATAGTTGATCTTTTCGTTTTCACATAAGAAAAAGCTTCATCATAATTGATTTTATATTTATCCATTATGTAAGCTATTACTATAGAAGCACTTCTCGAAATACCAGACACACAATGGACTAATATATTTGAATCATTTTTTTGACTTTCAGCAATAAAATCCAATGCTTCTTTAATGTAGTTTGATATATTTTGTTCTAATGAATCATCGATTTCAATTGTTTTATAAATTATTTGATCGAAATTCTTTTTCATTCCTTTTCCCAATATTAATACATATCTAATATTGAGTTCAAATAATTTATTTACATCAACACCAGATTTTTGCGATCCTAAATATATGTTGTCAATTATATGGTTTGGAGATTCATATTCAAGGTTATCATTGAATAAATTCAATTGTTCTATATTTGTTTCATAACAAACATCACATAAATTTATATTGTCGTAAATCTTGTTACTTTTCTTTCCACAACTAATGCAATCCACTGCTGATTCTTTAAAAGTTTGAATATCTTTTTCCATTTTTGACTCTTATTTATGTAATAGCAGAACTATAACCTGTTTTCTTTTGGATTGAATTTTTCTGAGTTGAATGATTTGATTTGTGTTGATCGTCTCTTTACTTAAATGTACAAAATCTAAAAAACAAATGCACAAATAAAAATGTTGAATTTGTTATCTTTTTGCATACGTTAAGTGTGCAACAATTAATCATTCATACCGATACATATTTTTTTAAAAATTCTGTTGCAAACGTCAATAATGTCAAACTCTGTACGTGTTGTATCAAAGAACTCTGCAATCTGAATAATTCTGAAAGCAAAAAGGTATCTGATTTCTTAATCAGAGACGAAGAAACAGATTGTTTGAATCAATCTACTTGACTATTTTTCTTGTTGTTTTGAATATAGACGCCTATCTGCCCTACAAAATGTTGAAAATTTCGTAAGGAACGTTTACTTTTTAGTGTAGAATATATTTCAGAATATGTAATCATAATGCTGTTGGTTACACTACGTGGCAATTTCTAAGAAATTTGCTTACATCAAAGGGTCGTGAACGAACGTTATCACATGAGCGCCAAGACTTGCTGATTCCGCATCACTTCATCTGTGAATTGTTTTTGTGTTGTTTTTCTTGAAAAGGTCTCTATTCAAGTATATTGTGTGTGAGAATATCGACTTTCAGCGAGAAAAGAACGAAGCCATATGTATCAATCAACTTTTTTCTCTCTCTCTGTGAATGATTCATAGGATACGAAAGACATATTGTATCAATGCCAAAAAATAAGACAAGGTACATGGTATTTTGTCCAGTCTTTTTCAATAAATAAAAAATTCATAGTAGACTTCTTGATCGATTGGTGTTCGAACAGTACAGAAAAGAAACGTTTGAAAAGTTCAGTTCTCAAAACTATACACATCTTTGTGAAGAACACGTAAGAGTATGAGACTCAGTAATATAGATGTTGACTTGTTAGGATTCTAGTGTGTATTCGATTTACTAATGATTAAGGAGCAAGGATGAAATGAACTGGGAAAAAGTGAACTTCGAAATAAGATTACAAGACAACAGACTAAAAGTAAAACTAATAACTGAGCCAAATGAACTCAAAACATGAGGATGAGTAAAGCTGCTAGGATCGATTTTGACAACACTCAATTTGTCTCATCAGATGACTTGAAATCGGTCCTGTCTCAAATAGAATCCTTTTACGTGTAAATAGATTGAATAAATTAACCTACTTAGAATTACCGGCCTTTTTACTACTGTAGAAATAAGATAGTTCCGAAATCGGTGTGAGTGAGGGTGTGAATGTGTGTGAAGCTGAAAGTAGTACCCACACCCGATATAGTTGAAATTCTGCGTTATACATAAACAATAAAAAAAAATAATGATTTCTTTTGTTTCGTCTTACGCTCGAACCGATTTGATACAATTGGTGAATAACATTTTCATAGTAACAGACTACTAACTTTCTTCGTTCTCTTTCAGTTTCAAACCGATATGATCTTAAATGTAAGTTACACTTTGATATTTGAAAATCGATACTTCTTTGTCGGGTTCACATCAATATGATCGAAATGGTAAATTGTATTTTAAAAATTGGAAAATAACAGCATCTTTTTTCTTGTTGATTCTGTGATATACAGCAAAGTGTCGAAATCCATCTTGCCGCACGGGTGTTTTCAAGTCCAACATTGCCTTCCGATGTTCGTAAGCTCGAAAACCTTCTATCTTGTTTTCGAGACTTCGGAAATCCTTAAAGGATTTCAGACAGTAAAAAAATCGGAAACCTATTAAGAGTTTTTCAGGAAAACAGTTTTTTTGGAGCGTATTGCATACATTCTAAAAAATTCTTCACCATGCGGTCTTCAATGGTTCATATGAACAAAAGAACACTTCATGATGGACAATTCTTATTCAAAGAGCACATTTCGAAAGATAAAATCAACATCAAATATTCCTCTACTATGTCTAAACAGAGTGAAAGAAGAAGCTGATCATTTAATCATTGTTTCTCTTATTGTAAAAGTTCAATTGAAGAAATTGTATCATTGTCACGAATATGAAAAAGAAAGTAGAATCAACATGCCAGTCTTCATAGTATAAGTTACTTGACAAACTTGCATTTAGCCCCATTCTGGAAAAGGCTTTCTCTTTCAGAAAATTTGTCATTGTAATCGGCTAAATAAAGTAGTTGTTATTTCATTAGAAACATCATCGATTTGGATCATTTTCTGTTCGATTAATCTTCTCAATAGTTTTCGATTTTTTTCCAATCGTAGTGCATCGATCAAATTTTGGTTCATAGAATTTCTTCTTTGTAAATCACATCCCATCTTGATTAGAAATTCGACTATGCTTTGTCGACAACCACTTACATTTAAACAGACATAAAGTAATGGATCATTGCCGTCATTGTCACATTGATGAACAAGTGATGGAGATAATTTCAATAATTTTTTCACAAGTTTACATTCTCTCTTCTGTAGTAAAATAAATAACAAATCTGTACTGATTAACCATGTTCTTAATAGGTAATCATTTAAGAGAGCATGAAAAAATTGTCTTGTTGTTCGATTTCTTGTCATTATATTTACATATTTTTGATTATTCCATGATTTTTGAAACAAATTTGTTATGCGTTCATTTGTATGGTAAATACATAACAATATTTGAATTCGATTATTTTCGATTAGATTATCTAGAATTCGTTGAAATGCATCATTAAAATCTTCATCCAATAGTATTTTATCTTCGAAACTATATTCATTAAGTACAATATTCAATATTCCAATTTGACTGGCTTCAATAAATATTTCATGGTTAGTAACAACATTCGTGAAATTAAGCATATTGAGTATATCTAAAAGATATATTTTCGCCCAAATTTCATCGTTCAATGAGTGTTTCAAACATTGTATTGTAAAGAGAAGTAAATCTAGAGCAGCTTGATAACATTGCATATTGATAGAAGTTATTATTTTGTGAGAATGAATGTTATTTATATGGTAAATTGAATAACATAGAAAAAAGTGAATACCATAACTATCATAATAAAACCAATCGTGATCCTTTAGAAAACTTGGATTTGAAATGATGAGTGATTTGAACATTTGAACGAGTGCATTGATCAATTGTCGTGTGCAACATTCGATAGAATTGAGCTTCGAAAGTAACAATTCATTAATTGATTTAGTAAGATTAAATTCATGGGATTCGTTGTCATCATATTGAAGACGAGCACCTTGTTTTAAAACAAGTGATATAATTTTTTCAATATTCTTAACAGATTTGGGACATGTTTTTAGTTTATTCAATGAGTTCTTTAATTCTTCATCAACATATTGTGTTTCTTCATTCGTAAGAAGTAAACGAATAGATTGAAAATGTTTCATATTCGATTGAAATTCATGTTTCAATTGATTAGCATGTACTTTGATATGAAAGAAAACTAATGATTGAAAACATTGTCGAAGTTTTTTGTCATTTTCGGTTTTAGTCAGAGATAATAATTGTTGAGATACGTCATGAAACAATGCAGAATTGTAATAGTAATCCAGGTTTGTATTACTATGGTGCATACATAAAAAATCAGTAAATAAATGTAAACGTCGATCGACAAGAATGCTATTCAAACGTTTATTTAATCCGGAAAATGTTCGAAATATATTATAAACACCACCACAATACTGAAAAATAATCATTAGGATTTCATCGGGTAACGCTTCGAACGTAGATGACATGCTTTGGTGTTTTTCTCCCTGATAAACAAGAAATAATCAGGTGACATTTTACGCGCATGTTATTTCACAATCTGTATGTCATTTAAATTTGGTTGAGTGTAATACTTTTTCTTCTTTTTCTGTATGCAAACAGAAAAATAGTTGCGCTAACAAGCTTAGAGATGCAATGTGGACGATGAATCCGCGCTTTGTTGTCATATATTTTTTAACGGTAACCGTTCCACACCTTATCGTCACTACTACACGCCTGAATATACTAGTCTTTATCAGTCTTCAACATTGACACAAGAAATGGGGAACATAGAAACGCAAAATAATCAACATTCACGATTGGATGCTCAAGGACATACCATCACTCTAAAGGCTAGCAGTTTCGTCCATGAACATAGATGATTTAATTGCATCGTTTCATTCCCTCTCAGTATAGGATCTATGATTTGAACGAAAACTCAATGAAGTGAAATGAGGTTGTGGATTCTCTCTTCACTCACACCAGCATGAGTGTTGTCTAAGATACTCAGAGATCATCATAGAGTGCTTTTTTATATCTTACCCTGCCCTCAAGACATGGCACGGAAGAGGTTCTAAACAGAGATCACCTATTACAAGAACTAAAAGATTCAGACAAATTACGTTATTTTTTTTAAATTTTAGCATCTGTATTTTCATCATGTCATTTCGAAAGACTATCACAACCAAACTCGGTATGTCACTAACAAGCATCACATATCAGAGAGCAGCACCTGTATAACACAGTTGTTATTTCAATCAGATCATTCAATTTTTTTACCGTTGTTAATTTCAATGCGAGTGAAACGTACTTTACTGAAGATCTAACTTAACCACTGTAGTTTTCTTTGCGAGACTCTTGGCCTGGCCAAATCGTAAGTGCAGCACTAGACCAACCTTTGACACATAATATATCTCAAGGTATGACGCTAATTGCTACTTACATGTGTAAACAAAACTACACATAAACCAAACTCTTCTTCCTTCGGATTAAAGAGTAATGGCCTGTTATTATTGAAGTAGAAATTCGCATCGGCCTTCCAAAAGTGATCTACTAATGTCGAACAAGCGATATTCGAACATTTACCTTTAAAAGAAGAAATTTTCGAAAACCAAATCTGAGTTTCAATCAGACGTTTTTATCGAATAAGTGTCACGGAATAGTTTATTTTTTACTAAGAAAACACTTTGATTAGAAATAAAATAATTTGAATTACAAAATATTGAAATTTCACTGAAAAACAAGATTTTTATATGCTTAACCTACAACAATTCATAGATTTTCGAAAAAAGAATTAAAAAACTCTCTGAACATATATTTCGCCTTATCAAATTTTATTCGTCTCTAGTCTTCTAATATAGAACTATCTTCTATTCTATGAAGGTGTTAGAATAAAACTGACTATTTTTCAATTGAACTGATTGAAGCTGGATCTCGAGGATGAAATGCAATTTTTGATTCAGACTTCTTAGTTCACATTATGTTTCCATGTATAGAAACTTCTTCAGCTTCTTGAGTCAGACATATATTATGGACACTTCTTGATATATGCCCTAGAAAAATAAAGTTGACTAAAGTTCTAATCAATCTTACTCTACTAATAAAGTTTATTTAGTAAAATTCTAGTTTTTAAAAGTCAATTTCACTCGACTAAAACGGATTGGACATAAAATAATTTGATTTACACTAAATTAAAATTAGAATTTTTCTCATTTTTTATAAGCGCAAGGCAAATTCTATTGCACTGCCCTCTGACTGTCACTGGTGTAAATCATCATTGTCTCACATGTACACTTCATTTGAGATCTTGTGTACCGTATTTGTTATCCGCATCTTCTGTTTCTTTCTAGGTTAAAAATAGAAGTAGTTGATCTTAACCTTTATTTTTTATTGGTCCTTGATTCAATGTAAAAAAGAAAAAGAAAGAAATTTCTTGTTCGTTTATCATCCGATTACAACGGTTATAAATCAATCATAATTGACTGTAAATGTATGATAATGCAATCATTGTAATTATTTTTTTGAATATGAAATGTTCAATTATTTAATTAGACATGTTATTTTTCATCAAAGACAGTAGATGTACATTCACATGTTCCATCATCAATATGGCAAGTTTATACGTATTGATCAAAGCGGCTTGAAGATGTTTTGAAGTGTAATTCTTTTTTTTTTGATGAGATCCCCATCTTCAGAAATATGCCAAAGTTCTGATCGATTCGAATTAATTAGTATCCATTGATTTTTCGTCAACGAGCAACATTGAAATAGACACGGCGGAAATGATGATTCGGCTAGTATTGATCGTTGTTGTTCAAATGTTGCCAATGAGCATAGATCAAGATGTATCTCATATCATTGTTTGATAATCATGAGAGCCAAGAGATTATGAATTTGATGACATATCATAAATGAACTCGTCTTTTTCGTACGAAACTGGCGATTGATATTCTTTGACACAGTTAATACGGGGTTTAATGTGTACTCATAGATAAAAATTTCAAGAAACACAGGCTACGAATAAAAAACTCAAGTCAGTACCTATACCAGTATCAATCTCAAAAAAGAATTATTCAAAAGATGTCCACATCAACTGCCGAATTCTGTCAAACCCAATCGATCTAACACTTTCAACTGCAATATCATTGCAAATGATAAAAATAGAGACTCAATGTCTCAACGTTTCATATCACTATCGTTCGACGTTGAGTGTTGATAAACGAATAAAAAAACTAAATGAATCACAAAGATTTGCAGATTATCTGCTTCCTCATGATTTTCGATGATAATCGAAATCACCAGATTCACTTGTAAATAGTAAACCATGATCATTACATTCTAACAAACAAAAGCAAGATCAACCACATCTGATTGCAAACTTAGCTAATGGGAAACACAATCAATAGTGAGCTCAAGAATGCGGTATTTACGAATATCTGCTAGTTCCAGAGTCATATGTCATTTCGAGATACCAAGATTTCATAACCTATAGATGATGTAGCTTAAATGGGATCTTTCGATCATGGATTAGGTACCAAGTTGAAAACTATCTGAAGAGATCATTAAGCAAGGTCGAAACACGCCATGGCCTAGCTTTGACATACTCACACCCATCCTTAACATACCTCTATCATATCTTTCCTGTTCAACAGGATGTTCCATTTTCTTTTGTTACATATGTATGTATTCAATTATGAACTGATATCCATTGATTTAACTGTTGACTACCGATTTTCTCACAGAGACTGAGCATTTTCTTATAAACATGAGGTTTGTCTATGCCCTAAGCACTTGTTTACTTAATTACAAACCGTTATTTTTGTCATTCCTCATGTTATCAAAAGAGATGTAGGTTTGAATACGAACGTGTCTGTCTATCCTTCTACCATATTCGAAGGTACGCACACCGAACCCGCGGCTCAGACCCATACACACATACACTAAAATAAAATGTGTCGCACTTTAATGCGTGGTAACCTGTGTTGGAGATTACGATATATGCAACACATTTTATTCTAATGTCCGTTTCAAAATATAATGCGTCCCACTGTTTTTTGAATAACTCAAGAACGCAATCAGCTAGAGACCTGCGGTTTTCACCAATCGAAAGAAGAGACAGGGGGCGTCTTTTTCTCCAATATCGTATCAGACGGAATCATTTTGAAACCAGTCATTTCCGCATAACATCGAAAAAATGATTTGATGAAATTTTGACAAAAAGTAAAAAAATTTGCTTCAAAATTAAAAGAAATTCATAGTTTTCTTGCGAGTAAACCGACGATTTTATTTGCTAAGCGTTAGGATGCGGTAAGATAATCATTCGAATTATATCCTGAAGTATAGATCCGAAGTCCCTCTATCTAGATCACATGTCAAAAGGAAAATTTCTTCAGAATGCCGGGTCGTTTTCATGTATTTTTTGCAATGTTTTGCAGAAATGACTGATTCTAAAATGATTTTGTCTGATACAATATTGGGGAAAAAGACGTCCCCCTGTCTCTTCTTTCGATTGGTGAAAACCGAAGTTCTCTAGCTGATTGCGTTCTTGAGTTATTCAAAAAACAGTGGGAGGCATTATATTTTGAAACGCACATTAGTACGCACTCACTCATCCAACCATTGACGACGCAAGGAAGTACGAAATTAGTCAATGAGTTTAATGTTTCTACGCAGTTCATATTAATGAAACAACAATCACTTTTCTCTTTCTGCTGATAAAATATGTTGGAAATTTCCAACGATTTTGCTCATATATATTTATGACACCAGTTCCAGTTCCTTTTTACAATTATCAAAGAACAAAATATACAACATCAAAAAATTTCCAATTGCTGAAGTACGTATTTCTATCGAGCGCACACAGAATAGCCAACAAAGAGAAACTGAAACTGATCTTACGAAATATGTTGGTCAATGCGATGTAACTAATAGAGATTTTTTAATTGTAGAAGTAAACATGTCGTATACGTATCATCAAACTACAGGTCAGTTTTGTAATGACAGTACCAGTGAATGTACACAATCCTACAGCGGATATAAGGGCGAGACAGATCAAACAAAATCAAATTTAGGTCCTGTTCCCGTAGGAGGCTATACTATCGCAAACGATTGTGACAAAGTTGGCCAACGCTGTAATTTAGTACCAGATGCATCAAACAACATGCATGGGCGATCGGGTTTCCAAATTCATGGCGACAATAGCAAAGGAGATGGTTCAGGAAGTCACGGGTGTATAATTCTGAATCAAGGAAATAGAGCTGGCTTGAAGCCAGGTGATACAGTTACCGTCAAGAAATAATTGATTCTTTGGGATCTCACCAATATCAGAGACAAAAAGATTGATTGAATATTGTTTTTTTTTGTGCTATTCTTTTTCTTCGTTCATTAATCAAGACAAAAAATAAAACTAACCTATTGTACAATATGTTGTCATGTCTACTCTTAGAATTCT